AATACAAAATTTTAAAAATAAATAAGAAAATATCTTCGAATTTTATTTGTATCGAACCTAAATATCAAATTGTGAAAGAAGGAATCGAGTAACTTAATAAACAAAGAGATATTAATAAATGTATATCATATTCAATAATTTAAAAATTTCATGTTAAAATTTTGAGAATTAATTTTTTAAAAACTATGTGTATAATTTTTAAGCTTGGCACTTGGGTATAATTAGTCACAGAAGTGAATTGCATGGATAACCGGACCTTCTGGAATATGCCTGGCATTTACATGCATATCTGCAAGTTCATTCATTCATTATTAATTGTGCCGAGATATTGCATTTAAATGCAACATGTCTGGCTCATGACTAGTATGCCCAAGAAGCACATGACATACCTATGTCTGGATTGGGTGACAGGAGGTATCAGAATTGGCGAAAAGAGGGGTGACCACAGGACGTCACTAGCTGGAAATCGAACATGAAGGCCAAAGACCAGGAGAGGCAGCAAGATGTGGAGTGTCTGAAATAATGTTGTTCATGGTGGGTAAAGTGGAGAAAATACATGAAATAAGCAAACACAATTTTATTTCAAAAATATAAGAATTCAACATAGGTGAATATATACACATACATAAATATGAAGAATTTCAAAGTACAATATGAAATAAAGTTATATATAGTATTTACAGAAAAAAACACATGATGTTGCATAAGTAAATCTGACTACGTTGGAAAATTAGAGTCCCGAGTGAGGAAGGCCGCTAAAAGTCTGATCTTTGCATCCTCTGGAAACACGATGTAATCAAAAACCTTAAAGTAACTCATGTGGGAGAAGTTTCTCGTTTTATCAAAAAATTTACAAATTGAATTGTGAAGGAAATTCTCGACATTCTCTATTTTCAAATCCCTGTGAAGTGTTTCATTAGAAACGTAAAAATGGGCATTTGTGATAAGTCTTAGAAATTTATTTTGTGTAACCTGTAATTTCTTGAGGTCATTTTTTGAATAGGTCGCCCAAGCTGGAGACACGTAAGAAAAAATTGGTCTAATTATAGCAGTATAAATATGCCCTTTTCTTCTTAACCTTTTCGCGACGGCAAACCTTTGTTTAAGACGCTCGAATGGGATGGAAAGGAATCGAAGGCAGTCACCGTACAGGACGGAGGTTTTGCATCCCTAAGCCTAATTTTATAAAAAAAAAATGAGAAAAAAAAAGTTTCACTTCTAGCCTTATAATTTTTGGTATCATTTTAGATTATTACTTGAGCTTGTATATTTGTTAAAATTAGCCCTTAATAACGTTTTTTTCTTTATTTTACATGAAAATATACTTAAAAATTTCCTTATTCTGTAAAATAATTTTCGGAAGCGCTATTCAAATTAGTCCAAAGTTTTTAATGGATAAATCCATCAATAAGTCTAAAATTAATAAAACAACACAATAAGACTATTTACAGTAAGAAGTACAAAATTTAAAATGAAAAAACGAGTGTGGTAAATCTCGAAGCACAGAGAAGTATCACTTCTAAATCTTAGAAAAAGAATCACTTTTTAACTCTTTAGAAAATGAATCAGTATTCTCATTTGCGTTAGTAAATGGTTCACTAACCATACGAGGGTATTCTTCCTCTGATAAATAGCGCCTTCACGCCATAATAGACTGGAGTTGAGACTCCCGAAATAAAAAGAGGAAAAACGGTAATATATCTGAAGTCAGTGCAAAACTGACTGGGCTGTCTAGTAACCCTAAAAGACTCTATATAGTGGAGGGAAAATAGAATAAAAAAAGCAATTGGATATAAATCAGACACGCAAATATTTTATATTAGCACGCTGCGATTTAAAAAGCCCACCTCTGTTTACGCTTTCGCTTCCCTTCCTCACCCTCGCAACAGTTGATGAGTAAAATACCAAAGTCAGACAGAATATATCAAACTCATGGTCAGGAACCTAAAAATGTGTTCATTTCAAAAGTAATGGGCATAGAATGCCATCTAGTGGCCTTCAGAAAAACGTTCCAGCTTAAAATGCGTATACGCATCACCCGTCCTCTGAATGCAGTCTCTAGCGATGCATGGATGGAACACCCGGCTGTAAGAGACGTTCTTAGGAAATGCGTATATGGGATGCCCATCCTGAAAGGGTTAAATCAAGTTTTGAATTTTTCCCAGTCAGTGGAATAAGATCTCTAATAGCAGCTGCAGTTTTAGACCTGGCCTTATTGATATGATCTTTCCATGTGAATGTATTATTTAAAACTACTCCCAGGTAGGTAGCCTTTTTTATAACTGGCACTTCCACGTTAAAAATTTTTAGTTTGTTTTCAGAAGGACTTCTAGAATGTTTTTCCCCTATAATAATTAACTGCCATTTTTTTGCGTTGATGGCAATACGCCATTTTGTACACCAGTGCTTGATTTCTGGTATCAATTTTACTTATACCGGTTCGTATTACTTCTGCAAAGTCACCTATTCGAATGATGACTGGCTTCACAGGTCAAACAGCTGTGCCTTTGTATGGAAGTTATGTACACACAGCACCCTCTACACCACCAGGCGTTCCTCTGCGCCCATACTTTCCTATGTGAAATCTCTTTCTTTTCCTATTCCCTACCTCCCCACCAAATATTGATGATGAATTTTGAATCACCCTGTATATAAATCTAATATTATCCTAAGTGACGCTTTTCAAATGTGAAAAATGCAAGTTAAATTTCGTGAATTGGTTCAATAGAACGGGAGATATAGAACTGCCCCCCTCTTTTGTGTGTGTGTGTGCAGAGTATACATATACACTAATTTAAGGGTGATTTGGATATTTGAATTTCTCAAATCCGAAACTTCCAGATTTGAGAAATTGCATGTACACTGCAAAAAAAAAAAAAAAAAAAAAAGTTGTATGCCACCTGTTCTACTGGGCCGATTGACGAAATTCAACTTGCACTTTTCATATCTTGAAAGCATGACTTAGGATATGTATTAGATTTAAATATAACGTTTTTTTAATATAGGTATTTTGACACAAAATCGGGCCTTTTCTGAAATGACATCAAATAATCGAAAAGGAAATTTCAGTTATTGTTATTTGAGGCTATGTGTTTGAGATTGTAATGATTTAAAATGATAGAGCTCATGATTATGGTTACCATAAAAAAATTGTGAAACTTTCAAATGGCAGCACAGCCTTTTATCTTGTGCAGTTTGATCAGTGCACTGAAAAGCCATAAAGGGCATTAGAACATTACACGTATGATGAAATTTAACAACATAAAGCATTTGCAAAGAAGGCCATTGTTAAGGACAGTGACAACACGAGAGGAGAGGGGGAAAAAAAAAAAACTTTAATTGGAATTGCAGGTTTTTCAATGTGTCCACCTTCACAGATTGCACCTTCAGATGCATGATTATTGACAATAATGATGAACGTAACATCGCAAAAAGAAATCTGTATAACTTCACATTTTTTGTCTTTTTTCAGTTCTGGCAAATCTCATAGATTTGATGTGCACACCTTAACCGTAGACCAGAAATCCATTGAATGAAGTCGGGAGATTGCAGTGGCCTCAAAAGTGCAAAATTATGGGAGATGACTCTCTTTCCAAAGTGCTGTTGCAGCACTTGCCGAACATGTGTTCAACATGGGAGCGAGTACCAACTTGCACTCGTGTGATCTCATTAATGACACTTCACTACTTCAATACTGGAACAACATACCTGTGGAAGTGACCTCTTCAAAGAAGTATGGACTGAGAATGAAACGGCTTGCAATGTTGTACCATGCTTTGGTTTTAGCTTCTTGTTAAAGAGGCTGGTGCCATTATAGTGAGGATTTTCATCAGCCAGTCAGTTCAGTTCTTGAAGTCTGCATTCCCATTTAAGGTGAAATTCGTCTCATCCATCCATAATATACGCAGTGGCCACCTGCTCTCTTCATTGTAGCTAATGCTAAAAAAATTCACTTATTGAACATGCTGTTACTCATCTCCAGGTTGCAACATCTGGATGTGCTCGAAAGAATTAGGAAGCATCCTCAGAACTGAGCACAGAAATTTGAGGACTGTGGTTTTCAGTGCGTCCAAATTGCGGGTAACACGTCTTGCATTATGCATCCATTGCACTAGCAGTAACTTACGATTATTTCATGTTTATTCTGGACAATACATAGCTTTTTTGTTATAAACCATCACAATCTCGAACACATGCCTTCAAATACAAATATCTAAAATTTCATTTCGATTGATTGAGTGGATTGACTGATAAGAGCTCATATATTGAGAAAGTTTTTTATGACCACCCTGTGTATATCATTATTGAAAGCCCATTTTAGTGAAATAGGTTGAAAATTTTAAATCATTAAGGTATCTTGCAGTTAACTAGGTTGAAAATTTTAAATCATTAAGGTATCTTGAAGTTAATGGAATTAAATTTCTATAGATCAATTTGACTTGTGAATGCACAGCAACATCTTTTGAAATTCTTTGAATGGAAGTTTAGTTTTAGCAAATCATTGAACCTTAGGTAATTGAATTCCGTAAGCTGTTGAAAAATATTTTTCATTTCAGTTTACAAATAATGAATAAGTTTTTTAATGGGCAAAAATTTCTTGGGCTTATTATATTTATAAACATATATTAAAAAGTTTGTTTTTGCTTCCCATGGGATGGATTGAACATTAGTTTTGGAACCTTGCTTAAAAATTTCTGTTGTAGGTCATTAATTTGCCTCTTATGGGAATCTGCTGAAGAATGTGCCTCATATGAAAATACTGGCTAACAAAGAACTAAATGTAGATTATAATATCTCTCTTGAAATAATTTTTGCCTTGAAAAAAGTATCAGAGTTGGATATATATTCGGAGATATTTTTTAATTTAAAATTATACTATATCTTCCAGAGTGTATAAACATATAGTTCATTATATTTAATCATTTTAAATGTCTGTCAAGTTTTAATATTATAAACATCTCTCTCTTTTTTTTTTTTTTTTTTTTTTTTTTTTTTTGTAGGTGTGGTCCATGAACATCCTAGAATAGGATCAGATGGAGAGAGTGAAGAAGTCTCAGCAGCTTCCGATGAAGTTGTTTCTCCTGTTGTCCTTCGAAGAAAGCAAAATTATCGAGTAAGTGTTTCCCCCCTCCCATATTGAGTAAATAATATATAATTTGTGTGGACTATTATAGATTTACTTCATATATTATATTATATATTTATACATTATATTTATTATATTATTTTTAATATCCATATCTTTGTAACTGTGAGTCTTTTTTTAAGATTTAGATAACTTTGGTCTTGTTTTTATAATAGCATTCAGTATGCCTCGATGCCAGTAGTACCTCGGTGTACATCCAAGTTGTTAGTTTTGCATATAAACAAGTGTCCTTTTTGGATGCAAAATTTTTGTTTGGAATTATGACTCGAGTTCAGTAAGCCATGGGTGTATGCACTGCACTTGTTTACCTCTTTGGGGATAATGCTACAACTTCCTAAGAACATTACTATGCATGCTGCTTCACTTCAGTAAACAACTTGTACTATAACTCTGAATTCTCAAGTGATTTTATGTTTTTTGTGTAAATGTTTTATGAATTCATTAATGATGAATTTTAAGAAAGTTAATGAAAAGAGTCAAGCAATGAAAAAAATTGTTGAAAAGTATTAACATATCATGCCTATCGAAGACTTGATTATTGCATATTGTATGCTAAATGCAGTGGTGTCTATGACTGGGAAATAAACAAAGACTATCAAATTGGCCAATGTTATGAAAAGGCTGAAATCAATTACAAAACTAAGATTGTAGACATGGAGCATGTTCAAAAATTGTTTTTTATCTTGTTAACAAAATGGCACTTATGTACAGTATCATGTAATGTTTCGTTTTTGTATAGTATACATTTCACTCGCTGGACTTTTGTTTTAGTATTAAACAGTGTTATAACAACAATGCTAGGATTTTTTATAAGAATGGATTAATTACTTTATTTTTTATTGGAAAAATTTTCTTGGTGTGTGTTCGAGGATCTGGAATGGATTAATGATCCATCTGAAGTACCACTATAAAACCAATTTATTTTCTTTAAAATGTGTTACAATCAACATACTAAAATCTTGACATTTAACAAATTTAAACTTGTGCCTTGTATACTGTTATGATCGGGAAGTTGCTATTAAACTAACATGATATTTTATGTATAATATTTAGCTTTTTACATATGCTATCAAAAAAATTTCAGATTTCAGATCAATATTGCATTTTTAAAAATGCTTGAAAGTTTGTTCCTTTGTAACCTTGCAGTATTCCATAAAGCATAGCATATCATTAAAAGATTTCATGGAGTTAGTGGATAGATGATGCATTGATTTTTAAAATGCAGTTCTATTCGGAGATTTCAAGGCGGGCAAATTCCAATATATATTTGTTGATTCATGAATGTACAGTTTTGAGGAAAGCGTCAAACAGAAACAGTAACTTTTATACATTTTTGAAGGTCAAACAGAAGCATTAACTTCTATACATTCTTATTTTGATAAGATAGTAGTCATAATAATAGACTGAAAACTGTATCAAATATGATAGTTAAGGAAGAGTTTCATTCCAAACAAACATTAGTCTTCTATCTTTACATATTATGTACAGGGGTAGATAAAATAAAAATATATCCCATAACTACTTGAGGGCTGAAAATAAAAGTATGGTTCATTAAAAAAGCTGGCAGGATTTTGTACTGTATATCCCACAAGATTAAAGGAGTCATGCATTGCAATTAGTCATTTTTAAAACCAAATAGCTATCAAGTCACTGAAAATATTAATGAAACGTTAGCAAACTGTTGACATGTACTATTGAAATAGTATCCAAATTAGAGTGAAAGTATATGGCGAGTATATTATAAATTTTCCATAAGAGAAGCAATTGCTTTAGTTGCTGTTAACCCTGTAGTTGTTCCTTTTCTAGAGTGAGTAGAATAGTTTCTTTTGAACATAAACTCTTAAACATATGCATTTTAGGGTCTGAGGGAAAGTGCTATTTGAGATTAATGGAGAGTTAAATTTATTTTCTTATAAAGTCCATTTTTAGTTATGTTTAGTAGTTAGTTTAATGAAATTAAGGATATTATATTAGAATCTAAAATGTGGAAAAATTTACGATTAACTTATTTAATTTAATTAAAATAATTAAAATGTATTCACCAATAATTATAAAATGTCCCTTTACTTACAATTTTAGATACATGTAATTTTTTTAATTGGTCTGATTGAAAAAGAAAAAAGAAGTATGTACTTTAAGAAATAAAGTTCAAAGTTCATTATATAACTATATCACAATGCATTATAACAGAAAGATTTCTGCCATGTGAATCATTTTAATTGAATTCTTAAATAGTGTTTGCTATCTCTCTCTCCCTATAAAAAGAACCATAATTTAGTAATATTAAAATTTATTTGAAATATTTTCCCCAATAAAAAATTTATATGCTTATTTATTATACTCTTTCTTGCCTATTTAAAAGTCTTTTTAATAAGTTTACAAAAAGTGTTTGGGTTCATTATAGAAAGAAATCAGCAAACGCTTCTCCCTTCCTGCTGATGTCCACCTGCCTGACAGCTTTCTTGCCAAACAGTTATCAGTGAGTCCTACTTTGGATGGACCTATCAGTCGTACACTTAGGAGACAATCTTTGGTGAGCCTTTGCCTGTTTTAAAATTTTCCTAACTTTGAAGAAGATTATTGGGCCTAAAAGCATTGTGATATTTGAAAGTATATTTTTATAAAGTTAATTTAACTTCAAACTAGAATGCTTACCTTGAATTAATTGTAATTTTTTTAACTATTTCATCGAATGAAAAAAAAATATTGTTCTACGATTCTAATATTTGTCTATCAGACATGTAATTTTATAATAATTAATAGTGAGTAAATTTTTCTGCGATAAATATAATTAGGTATTTTTAATGTCAGCATAGATAAATTTAAGTTTTTTCTTACTGTTATGACTCCAGTTATTTAAAAAGCACTTTTTATACATTCTTAAAGGTCAAACAGAAACATTAACTTCTATACATTCTTATTTTGATAAGATAGTAGTCATAATAATAGACTAAAAACTTTATCAAATTTGAAAGTTAAGGAAGAGTGAAATTTGCTGTGCCTGGCTGAACTCAAGTTAATCGGAATTAATTTATTCTGTTTTCTTCTTTGCTATGCCTTAAAAAAAAAAAAAAAAAAAAAAAAAAAAAAAAAAAAAAAAAATCTTCAACCTTCTATTCCAAACAAACATTAGTCTTCTAGCTTTACATATTATATACAGGGGTAGATAAAATAAAAATATATTCCATAAGTACTGGAGGGCTGAAAATAAAAGTGTGGTTCATTAAAAAGGCTGGCAGGATTTTGTACTGTATATCCCACAAGATTAAAGGAGTCATGCATTACAATTAGTCATTTTTAAAAACAAATAGCTATCAAGTCACTGAAAATATTAACGAAACCTTAGCAAACTGTTGACATGTACTATTGAAATAGTATTAATAAATTCCTAATATGTATTACAATCAGGAGTCCTAATTAAGGTCATTTATAATCTATATCATGAAAAGAGCTGTAAGTAAGCGACATATTATTGTATTTCTATCATGTTTTCTGTGTTTTTTTTTTCAAAAATATATCAATAGTTTTTGATTTGTTAAGAGGTGAGGAAGGTACTAAATCATTCTTCAAAGAAAGAGGTGTTTTACTTCACATTCAAGTTTACAAAAATGGCTATCAAATGAAATTGTGCTATCAGCATAAGCAAGTGCATTATAAAACGTTACAAGTTTACATTCTGACAACTTATTCAGTGGTTTTATATTATCTTCTATAACAGTGATGTGATTCATTTACTTTTAAACAGAGGAACTTACGTGCATGGGAAAAGTGATATGATGTGTAAGTGTGAAGTAAACATGCTTGCTATGTAGGTTCATAATTGTATCTTCGTTAAAACTTGGACATAATTATGGCATCATTTAAATAAAATGAGGGTTGTAATAATAAGGAAGTAAATTTGTTCTTATATACATGGTATTATTTTAAAATAGAATTTTTGTATATGATTTGCCATATTTTTATTGAAATACGAAATATCAGATGCTTACAGTAGAAGTTATATCATCAGAACTCAGAAGTTGCAAAATTCAAATATGACTTTGTTAATAGCATATAACCTGAAGAAATATCCAAATTTGTTTAGAACTGCTGTTAAATATTTTATGCTTTTTAAAACTGCTTATATAAGTGGAACTTTTTTTTTTAAACTGTTTTTTAATAGCTGAATGATGATGACTTACAACTGTACATCACAGAGCAAACATAATCATCTCATTGGTTAATGACTATAATTTGTGTGTTGGGGGGAGGAGTTGTCTTTTTTAGTGCGTTTTTAGCAATATATGTAACTAATGGATGTAAAATTCAGTGTGTGTATTTATATAATTTTATGTTCCTTTGCAATAATATATACTTAATTCTGTTTTTACATGAATTCAAAGTAAATTTTTTTCTTTTTATACTTGTCATTATGATTTAACACAAGCTGGCCAAACCAATTTCTAAGGATTTTATTTATTTATTTATTCTTATTATAAATTTAATTGTAAAAGAATTTTTATTTGTGCCATAGTGGTACTTGCACATATGAATAGATTGCATAACAGTTACTAGAGGAGAATGAAGTGCCTCTCCACAGCATTGAAATAGTTGACAGCCTCTTACAGAGAATTATGTTAATGCCTTATCAAATTGTGATCATTACAATTAATAACTGAATTCATTCATAAAGATGGTGAAACATCAGGGTACCAGAGGAGACTCATGCTGATTTTGCTCAAAGTGGTACCAAAGATTTTTATTGATAGAGGAAGAAGCTAACGGCCACATTCCTAGTGATTTTCCATTTGTGCGCAGATGCATGTGCTGTTTCTTGTCAGAAGGAGAAAATGAATGAAATCTTTCTATGTGTGAAAACTTTTTTTTTTTTTTTTTTTTTTTTTTTTTTTTTTTTTGTTTCATGTAAAAATTTTTTTAAATTTCAAATGCAAGTTTATTATATTATTTATTACACATGTATTTTGTCAAAATAAAATATTTAGGGTATTTCATAACTTTATTTCTATTTTTTGCTGGTCTTCTAGATCTCGAACCAATTTTCTTTTCTTCTATGGATACGACATATTTCTTTGAATTTTTTCATAGAATATATCCCTTATATAAAAACAGAATTAGGTGTATAGTATAGGTATGGTATGCCAGTTATGTACACATTTCCATGGAATAAGGTTAAAGCATAATGAGGTTAAGAACTTGCGTTTGACTATAAGTAATGTCATATATATGTAACGTAAATTGGTTATTCATTTATATCAATTTCTTAATATTACCAGTTATATATAGCAGTTTGTAATTTCTTAATATTACCTGATATGTATCATAATTTTTATCTATATCATATTCTTTGTCTAAATTTTTTCCAGTCAGAAATAGGTTTTGGCAGGATGGAGTCTTACCTTAAATTACATAAACTTGGTGAGGTAAGTGCATGTTGGTATATTTTTTTATATTATATTCATTTATTTTATATTTATTATTATTATAAGAAAGTAGTTTTACTCTCTTCCGATAGTACATTGATATTTTCACCCAAAATAACAGGCAGTCAGTCGTAAATTAGGTAATACTTTTCAGATCTTCTCTGTTATAGGTCAGAGATTCAAGTTTTTGTAAACACAAAAAGTCTCTCTCTTAGATTAATTATTTAAGTAAACAAAGAACTAAAACATAACAACACACTTTACAAACTTATATTGACTTTATTTACTTGAAAAATATTAAGCCACATATGAGATAAAAAAATTCATTTAATTTAAAATTGATCAATGAGAATGATGTTGGCTTGCATATAATCTGATGATTTCTGTCTTTATTTCAAAATCTGTGCATTACTTAACATAAATTACAATCAACTTAGTACTGCAGTATACATTAATTCAAGTTGGTGTAAATTTTTCTACAGAAATTTGGCATCATATGATGGAAAAGAGCCTAATTTTCTTGTATCTAAATAAATTTTGTTATAAGTAGAAACTTACTATTTGATCACTGTTTATTATGAAATTCCATACTTTCTATTGATCATAGTTGTGAATTTCCATAACTATTGTGCTGAAATTTCATATGAGCAACTGATCTTCAATAAAATCAATTTAGCATTTGTATTCAGTATTAAATTTCAACTTATATTATGATAGTGTGTGTAATAATTTGATAGTATTTTTGTTAAATTTATTTTTTAATTATATTTTGATAATAATTTTAGGGGGTTTATATGATGCAGTAGATTTTATAAGTGATGGTAATTTTTTTGGATTATAGTATTGTAAAATTTAAAATAACATCTGTTAGATTACCATGATTTGTAGCATTTTATTTCATGTGCATTCTTGCTATACTTCTAAAATGCTGAAAAATTTGATGTGAAAAGCCACATGCAGAGGAGAAAAAGAATGTTCATGAGATAAAATATATAAAAATTCTAAAATTTTTTCTTTTCATTATTTAAATTGATTTTTTCACAGGGTACTTATGCTACAGTATATGCTGGTAAAAGTCGACTAACTGGTAATTTAGTAGCTCTTAAACAAATCAGGTTAGAACATGAAGAAGGAGCACCTTGCACTGCCATTAGAGAAGGTAGATTTCTAATTTCACTTTTATTTGAGATAGGAAATAAATGAAAATTGCTTTAACTTTGTTACAATAATTATTATTGTACTGATAAAATAATCCCAATGTTCTATTTATAATTGTATTGTCGCGTGCGTATGGTTTCATTATGAATTAAATGCACAAGTCCGATGAAAAATGAATAAAATTTATTATTATCACAACAAATAGAAAACAAAGTGCTTAAATTTCCTCAGATATTCGTACAGTATTACAATATCTCACAGTAACGTTCAACAGAACTTAATTCAAAACAGCTAAAGAAAGCTAATCCGCGAATTTGCTACAGTCAACAAAAACAGTTTTCTAAACAAACTCTTAAAACAACAACTGCGAATTGAGAGGTTTTCCTCTTCCTCCTTTTATAAGCTTTTTAAATCACGCACAAGATTGTTCTAGCAATTTCTTGAAATCAAAAAGAGATATTTATTTATTAAATGTTAAATACACGTGCTCTTGTATCTTTAATTTTCTGGCTTAGCTTTCTTATAATATTCATCACGCGCTGCACTGCACAGGGAATAAAACAATTTAATTAATAATTCTACTGATATTAGCTATTTAAATACCAAATCCATAACAGTATTAAAATAGTGAATGTTTATGATGTTTTCCATATCTTGTTACAAACTTTATATAGCTAAACCTTGTAATAATAGTTCTAAATCTCCACAGCACTAAATGAGGAAAGTTGAAGCACATTAAAAACTAATCAAAATTTAAATAAATGTATTTGTATTTTTTGAGTTTTGGAAAGAAGGGGTGGGAAGGAATGATCATCTTAATAGTAATGAAAGGAGTGCAGGGGGCAGAAAAGGATTTAAAACTACTAGTCTCAAGTCTTTTTTCCTTCCTAGCCAAAAGCAGTATGATAACTGTAGTATTTATGAAGTGACAGGAAGAAATTTCATTCATGTGTGAATATGATAACTGTAGTATTTATGAAGTGCCAGAAGAGATTTCATTCATGTGTGGCACCTGAAAAACTATGTATGAAGTGCCATAAATTCTTGTGATAGCATGATGTAGAAATATAATATGAGTACATAAACTGAAGTCCAGAGCTAAGGTAAAATAAAAAATCCCATAGTTTTCTTATTATTTTTTTATATTCTGTTATCAATTCTTATAATTAATTTCCATTTATAATTAATCTGCTTATCGTTATATTTAATCAAATACTAGTTCTTTTAAATGTAGTATTAGAGATACTTTAAAATAAGACTGTTGGCATATCTATGTACAAAAACTATATAATTTATAAATTATTTAAAGTGGCTTGCAGTTACGTGGTTCAAAATCATAATTATTTTCCATGATAAATATTTATTATTATAGGGAAAAAAATTTAGTGTGTCATTTGCCTGGAAAAAGAATTATGAGTAGTGTAAAATTTTTTGAAAGTATGAAAATATAATGGATCACAAAGTACATAGCAGTAATTGCAGTATGGATCCTCAGTTAATGTGAATTCAATATGTTAAAATCAGTCAGTGTGATCAATTGCAGTAATGCTGTTTATTATTTTAAACGAGTTAATAATTGTTGTTAATATTATTCTGCTGGATTTTCATTTATAATAATAAATAAAAATTATTATTTTTAAGTAGTAATTGAATGGGAATGCTCTTCAACTACAGCAGCATGCATGTCAGGGAGGTAAAGATTGCAAATAATAAATTGTTATGATAAAAACCTTAAGCTAATTTTTTAATCATATTGAACATGCTTTATTTGATTTATTCCTAAAGGGGAACAAATTTTGAAGTCTACTCAAACAAAATTTTGATAAAGAAATCTGTAATTATTGCAAATTGTATGACAATATAAGAAAGTTCAGCACTGTTCGAACATCTTTACATTTTAGGGTGGGGGAGGGGGTAAAGCTGTTCATCAGTCGAAAATTTATAGTCAACAAAAATTTATTGAAGTGATTTTTATTAAATCTGATGATGTTTATCTTCTAATAATAGCTAACTTTTGTCCCTTAATTTATGCTTATTAACAGAATTAATGAATGAATTTTGATTAACATATTTATGATATCTTGTGAAGTTTTGCATGGTTTGTAATAACTTATGGATTAATTAACACATAAAAGTACCCATCTGAGTAAAATTTGTTAAACAAAATGTGAGAAATTTTTGAATATTTGTTAAAGAAAATGCAAAAAACGAAGCTTAAATTTTTTATGAAATATACATAAAACTAATTAACTGCTTCATGAAGCAGTTTATAATTGCAAAATTAATAATGTTATTTTAGGTCTTTTTGATTGAATGATTCTTCTTATTTTGTAACGTATATTTTGTACAAATTTACAGGAAATTGATAATTTTAGCAAAATTTGAGGAAGTAGAAATAATTTATGTATATATATTTAAAAGGCAGTCAAATTTAAGAAAAGAAGATCAGGCATTTTAGTTATTCATCTTCCATTGTTAAAAGAATTCTTTATCTTTCAATAAATTAATAATTATAAACTATGCAAATGTTTTTAGGTTTAAAAAAAATATTTTTATTGTTTTCGTAGCAACTTATGTTTAAATTATCTTTTTAAGTTTTAAATTCAATGAAAGTGAAAAGTATATTAAATTAATTTTTGTTTGCTTATTTGTGAATTATGTTTTATTATTTTTTAGTTTCCCTGTTAAAAGATTTGAGGCACAATAATATAGTTACCCTTCATGACATTGTTCACACTGAAAAGACTCTTACTCTAGTTTTTGAATATATGGTAAGAATAATTTTGCTTATATATTTAAGACCATGTTATGGTCATGTAATAATTACTGTGTATTATGTTTACATACCTTAGTGCATTTTTTGGAATAATTTAATATACAAATGTATACTGTAAACAAGTGTGAATAAATGTTTTTAAACTGAGCAGCATTCTTTAATAATATTATGTGAAACTTTTAGTGCCCTTCCATTTTTGTTTTGAATTACATTAAATTTGTTTATTATTTGCACTCATTTTTTAAATTTATTTCGTGGATTTCCTTTGACATTCATCCAAATATAATTTAGAAATGCAACAGCATTGAAAATTTTTGTTGAAATTTTTTGGCTGCTCTTTGAAAAAGACCAAAGAATTTTCAACAATAGGTTATGTTATATTCTTATATTTTTATGTTTTTGTTTTATGGTTTTCCTGTTGGCTAGTTTGCCACTATTTTTAATTTAATTATTCTTTCTTGGTTATGTATATATATATATAGTTCAAAGACCGAGATCCAAAATTTGGGTGATTTTCTGATTTGGGAAATTTCTAGAATTTAGATCATTAGTTTTAAATCTAGTAAGATGACATATTGAAATTATGAAATTAAAATATGAAATAATAAATAATTTATGGCCTTAATCAAATTAACCCCCCCCCCCCGAAAAAAAAAGGCTGATTTTTTTTTTTTTTTTTTTTTTTTTTTTTTTTTTTTTTTTACATTTAATTTATAGATAAATGTAATTTGTTGTTCAGTTATGAACTTCCAGTGATCAAGTCATGAAATTCCCATATCAAGAATTTCCACTAAACTATCAATCAAAATCTTTTCATTACTAACTATTTTATTCTCACTTTCTTTACTACTCATAGCTATGCTTCCTAGATTTAAAGCCTTACTACATATTTTGTGGTCTGTTATTTTATTGATGAGTGGAGCACTGTCATTGCAATACAAAACTTTGGTTATATCATCTTCATTTTGTATCACTTTTTTTACATTTCTTCACAAATTCCATTCTTTTGTTTATAATATATATATATATATATATATATATTTTAAACCTAGTAAAAATTCTAATGACAACAAGATCTTTAAAGTAGTAAACATGATCATTAATACTAATAATGTACTGTGTTTATTGCATTGCGAGATTTTTTTTTTTTTTTTTTTTTTTTGTTATAATTGGATTTTTTTTATAGGAGGGAGATTTGAAAACATACATGGAAAAAGTTGGTCGTATTTGTATGAATAATGTTAAGGTAACTTTAGGAATGTTATTCATTCTCTTAACCTTTTAACTGTCAAGTTATTTTGATGATTTGAGTGCATAAATTGTCAAATTTTTTTATTTCAAAAATGAAATGTTTGCCTTGCAGTCAAAAAATCAAAAAAATGCCACACACTTTGAACTTTAACCTCTATCCTTTGAAACCTTCAGTAAAATGCTGCCATCTGTTGAACTGAAGCCGAAATAAAGTTCTCACGATATATATTTGGGTATAACAATACGATGCACTCAAAAAAAAATTAGCCCAAGTAATATTCAGGCGTGACATTTTGGAATACCAGTGTTGTGCTCGAGATTTTTTCGGGCATGACAGTTAAAATGTTAAGCAATTGCGATTTAATTTTGTATCTTTTAAGCATATGTTATTATTTTTGTATTTTCTTTTGCAATTAAAAATTTGAATTGATTTTGTTTCTGTTTATACTAAGAAGAAAAAAGAAAGAAGTTCTTGAGCAAATTCCTTTAACTTTAATTCTTAAAAGGATGATTTTTGAAATAATGAAAGAGTCATTTAATGTAATACAGTTTAAGATGATTCATATGTGAACTGGGGGTGGGATATCTTTTCCTTAAATTAATCTACTTTTAAGTACAGTAGTGTGCAAATTAATCTGAGCGCTTCATATAAAAGCATAATTTTAATGAACTGTATGTTTATAAAACATGATAGTAAATCTAGTAATTTGAAATACACATTTCTCTAGCTTTATTTACTTACTTCATGTCCTTTGGCATTGATTTTTCAAATTTTCTGCTTATCTGTTTCACGTGATCATCATGAAACCAAACTTCAGTTATATTTAAAATTAAGAGATCTATTGACTATTTTTTTTTTTTTTTTTTCTTTTCTTCCATGATTGACTGAAGATTCTAAGTACAGTGGAAGTTACTGAAGAGCTTATTCATTCAAGGATGTATTTTTATGCTTCTGAAAAACACTTCCAAGTTTCTTGGATTCATAGCAGGGTATCAGATCATTTTGCAAAATCTCATCTTCATCGGACCGTAAAGTTTACAGAATTGGGATAACCTTTTCTTAAACTTCATGTATTTAACTAAATTTAACATATCTTTGATTGGTACTGTGGACTGTATGCTGTAAAATGGAAAAGTGAACTAATTTTTATCATCTAGATAGTCTAAAGTTGCTTTTTGTGAGGTCAAGCACCTTTACAGCTGGTTTTGAGAAGTTGTTGCTAAGGCATAGAAGCATACTCATAGAATACCATAATAAACCAATCCTTTTTGTTAATCAAAGCTCGTAAGCTGACAGTTTTCCATGGCTTTTCCTATAAATACAGTATTATCCCAGCTGGTAGTTTTGTCTATCACATTTTACAGTTCTTTAAGAGTTTAAGTGTAACAATCCTATTTTTTTTTCAGGGTTCGTAGCGGTCCTTATAAGTGCTTATAAGTCCTTATATTTGAAAATAAAATATAAAGGCCCTTATAGGTGCTTACTTTTTCTTTAAAGCCCTTATTTTTTTGTTTTTAGTGCTTATTTTTGCTTTTAAGTGCTTTTTTTTTTTTTTTTTTTTTTTTTTTTTTTTTTTTTTTTTAAATGAACACGCTTTTTTTCCCCATACCAAAGCCAAAGCCGAAACTAAATAAACAACTTTTCTTCCTAATATGGAATGACAGCTGGTGAGTCATACTCCGGGAAATAGCTTTTCCCCCTTTCTCTGCATTAACATAACCTTTGGTGTGCACAAAGAGTAGAGACAGGTGCCCGTCGTTCTATTGGTCAAAGAATTGCGAAAGCAGTAGAAAATTCCGCTACATTCGGCATTCTTTTCCTCCCACCCAAATACTACATACGTTTGAATTTCTATCAAGATCTTAAAAATTTGCATTCTCGTTCTGCTTGATCAGTTCATATTTGTGTTTATTATGATCATTATGCTAATATTATGAGCATATGTATGAATATTTATAATAACATAGTTGCAGTAACTGCTGAAGTTATAGTAAACTTCCAAAAATGGTTGTGTTTTAACACAGATTAGCTTTCTAAGGAATAATATTCAGAATGCCTTTAATAAAGGGAAAGTAATTGAATAGTCAAAATAATTTCATTTTTTTGGCCAATACAAAGGTTGGGAGGTCTCCCCTTTCTCCGCAAAATCTTGAATATTGAAACTGTTACAGTTCACTGCAAAACAAGCAACGGCCTTTTTTTTTTTTTTTTTTTTTTTTTTTTTTTTTTTGTCACTTTCCAATCTGGATTGAATAGGACTGAAAGTTCTGCGGTCTACCAAGCGAAGAATGATTCTATTCCGGAAATTTAACGCCGTCTGTTGAAAATTAGAATGAAAAACACCAGTTATTTAGTTCTTTATTCTCCCAATACCAGCAGTTGTTGATTCCAATTGCGTAATATAACGTAGGGAAGAATTACCGCGCACGTTTTGCACAATAACGTTTGCGATATTTTTCAGATATAATTAATTTTGATGTTCAAGATTTATTTATGAACACTTAAAAGAGTTTTACTGTGCTTGCTAAGCAGAATATTTTTTTGTTCTGTTGGTTTATTTTTATATGATGCACATATTGAAATGTCAAAAGCATTTATTTAGCGGAAAAATCTAAAGAGAGGCTACAGTCTACCCCACCCCCTCCGCTGCTTCAAGTTACGCTCGACTGTCCGAATATTCGCCAATTTCCAAGTATGCGGGTTAGTTAAGCTTTTACTGTTAAAGATGACTGCATGAAGCAAGTTTCTGTGTTCTGATTTCAGAAATGTTCCTCTTTTTTACTTAAATTACTTTGCTTGCAATACCTGTTAAGAGAAAACTGATATACAATGAAAATTTAGAAAATGTTCAGAATTTAGATTTAAATTATTTAAATATCAATATTAGTGGAAAAATAAATTGTATTTATTATTAGGTTCCAAGTGAATACAATAAATATGCCTTATTATTATTTATTTTCTCTATTTTGAACTGAAATTTCATCATTAAATCTTGTAATATAGTTTAGTTCTTCATAGTTTTTTTTTTTTTCCTCTCATTGTAAACTAGTTCTGTAAATTGAACTATTATTTAAAGTTAAAAACAAACAAACAAACAAAAAAGTAATTATTTTCCATGCTTGAGGTAATGCTTATTCTCTCTTAATAAGTACTTCATTTCTCATATTTTAAAGTACAAGTCTAATTTTTAAGGTTATGCAGTTGTGTATGATGTAATTAGACAGGTGCTTATTTTTTTAACTAAAATGTGGCTATGAACCCTGTTTTTTCTCTTGGAGAGATATCCATTGCATAAATTTAAAAAAATGAACATAATAAATTAAAGATAAAATTTGGCTAAAGAAATTTAATGAAAATATTTGACACAAATTGTGAAAAATAGAAACTGAAAATAGCTTGCAGAACAATTGTAAATTTAAATGATACAAATTGGAGAGAGAAATTCAAAACTGAGTAACACTGCTATTTACAGACAGTGAAGTACAGTCAAAAGTCTTTAATTCGGACTCATCAGGACTTTGGCGATTCCGAATTATCGGTTTTTCCGGATTATAGATCATCAGTTTAAATCTGGTAAGGTGGCATGCAGAAATTATAAAATTAAAAATATGAAACCGTAATGTATGAAATAAAGAGCAATTATGATCTAAAGGGTATCAAAATTTACAAAAAAAAAAAAAAAAAAAAAAGAAGTTTAATATTTATTTGTTTACTTTATTAAACATTTCTTTCAACGCGCGCATGCGTAAAGCATACATTATGCATAGTCGAAATTAGAAAGTTGCGACCATAAGACTATTTGATGTGTATTAACGACGAGGAATTTGATTTAAATCATATCAAAGACGGAGTACATTGAAATGAAATACTACATTTAGTAAGGAAATTATAAGCCGAGTAAAATAAAAACATCTGCTCTGAAGATAAGGATAATGCTGACAGATCAACTTTCAGTTCATTGCGTGCCGCGACCTTTCCCCCCTCCTCGCAAAGCAGCGTGAAATTGATTAACAGATTTTGGAATGGTTAGAGAAACAGAGGTTATGCCTTTATCCATTTTTTTGCAGCTATTCCACTTTTTGTTTGATGGACATCGAAACAAGCTTTCATTTTGCAGATCCTTTGGCAGCTCCAGAATCCAAAATTCTTTTTGACATAATCGAAAGTTCAAGCTTACTTTTATAAAACTGCTCTAAGAGTCTGCAAAAAATAATAAGCCGGATCCAATTAAAAGATTAAGAAACAACGCAATCTGCAACATTAACTGAAATAGATAATTAGATAATTTCAGCTTAGCTTATACCGTCCGTTATACATTAAACGCGCATGCATAAATGTATTATGCGCATGCGTAAAGGTATTATAAGCATAAAGTTTGTAGCTTTGAGGTCCAGATTATAGATCATTCTGGATTATGGACATCCGGATTAAAGACTTTTTGACTGTATTTAAAAAGATTTCGGATTTTACAGATTTTGACTGTATTTAAAAAAAAAATAATCTCTTGTTCAGATTGATATATGTGTTACTGTATATCTTATTTTGTTTTTATATCCTAATACACAGGTATATTAAAATGATTGATATAAATGTATATATATTCATTTATAAATAGAGAGTGATAAACAGTAAGTGAATTCAAGTTGTCCTCATAATGCTACATGTGGCATTTTTTTTTTTTTTTTTTTTTTTTTTTTTTTTTTTTAATGAATAAGGTTAAGAGGATAATTGGATTTTTCCCATTCTTGCTCAAACATATCATTTATTACTGTGTCTACAGCAATAGCAGTGTTGCTTTTGAAATTGTATCAGCTTTAGAGAAAAGTTGTCTCTGTATATCTTTGGCATACCTCAAAAGGCATAACGTCCAATGAACCCGAGAGCCTAATTTGTGGAATTGTATAAACAAATCTTTGCTGGCATGGGCACTGATATAGTGTGAAAAAGCACACAATTCTAAAGCATTAAAGGGGATCTTTTTAATTTGATTGTAGAGTCATTAGGATTTTTTTTTTTTTTCTTTTAAGTGGGGGAAGAGAAAAATGTGCAATGCCCTTGCCGAGACTCGAACCTGGGTTTCTCGAATACACCCCAAGTGGGCTATCATTATGCCATGAAGGCATTCAGAAAGGGAGGGGGGAGAAAATACCTTATATGACGAACACTGGGCCAAAAGAAAAAAAAAAAAAAAAAAGGACAGTTCTATATCTTCAGTTCTACTGGGCCAATTGAGGAAATTCAACTTTCGTTTTTCATGTGTCGAAAGTGCGACTTAGGATATGTATTAGATTTATATATAGCATTGTTCTAATATCAGTATTTTGACATAAAATCAAGCTTTTTACTGAAATAACATACCAATTTTTTTCCATATTTCAATTCTATGACTCAAATTATGCCAAACTACCACGTTTTGTAAAAATCGCACGATTATTTTTTAAAAAATTACCTCTCAAAATTTTAGCTCCTCAATGTTAATTGAGTTTGGTATATATTGATTAATCTCCTTTTTTTTTTTTTTTTTTTTTTTTTTTTTTTTTTTTTTGGTTAAGCTTATTTGATTCTTCCGTTCACATTTGGAAATTCAGCTTGATTCTAAATAAAATTCACCCATTTTTTATGATTTATTTTTAAAATTTGTATTTTTAAGTAATTTTTATAAATTTTTCAAAAAAAATTGAATTATAAGCTATCAAGTTTTTACCATCATCTTAAAGTAGATGTATTTCTAAGCTTACCTGCAAAAAATTACAATTTTTTTATTCAAAATTTCCTAAGATGTATGTGAATTTATATATTGGCACGTTTTGAAATTTCACATATTTGTTGAAAGCAATAAAACATCAGAAGTGGTTTAAACACTTTGTTAAAGTTTAGAAATGATGTTACCTTTTTTCCAGTAATACACAATGTGAAAAGGTAGGAACGAGGTGCCTTTTTTTCCGCTCCAGCACAATTTAAGGGAAAGGAAAATTGGTTGCCATATATTAAGAAGTTCGCCAAGAGAATTATTCTTGGTCAAACTAAAAAAATTTCGCCAAGATAAATTTTAGAATTTCTCTATAAATTTCGCACCAAATTTTCTAAAATTTAATATCTGGCAGTGCTCTCTCTCTGTATCTATACAATATATATCCTAAGTCGCGCTTTCGGGACATGAAAAATGCAATTTGAATTTTGTCAATCAGCCCAGTAGAATGGGAGATATAGAACTGTTCCCCCTTTTTTGCGCAGTGTATATCAAGTTAATAAGTATGAAATAATACGCAGTGTATATCAAGTTATTTTTTGCACAGTGTATATCAATATTTTTTGTGCAGTGTATATCAAGTTAATAAGTATGAAATAATACTCATTTGAAACTGAATCAACCATTCTGAGTAACCTTGTTTGTGAGAACTATTTAGATCAGTGTTAAAGTTTTAATGTTTGATGTTACTTTAACTACTTAAGATAAGTTTTCACTTCTAAAGAAAAGTTATTCAAGATTATTTTGTTTTTTATCACCTCTAAGATTTGTAAGTAATAATATTCTTGGTTTAGGCATTTTATTGTTTGTATATTCACTGTAGAGCAAAGTATATGAAGGAGAAAGGTGAAAATATTTGAATAAAGCTAACATATAAAGGATTTGATAAAGCAATTATAAAACTATCAGCTTTTAATTAATGCCTTAAAAAAATTCTAATTAACAGTTGTTATTCTTCATTTAACACAGTTATAAATTTCATAAAAAGCAAATAATTGATAATATAATTATTAATTACTCGAATAATAGAAATTCCTTAGTAAGAAAAATCTGTATTTAAAAAATGAAGGTAATGACTTAATAGACCTGTTAAGTTTTAAAACCTTTTATTCAGTAATTTTAGACTATTAGTATAGACCTGTTAAGTTTTAAAACATTTTGTTTAGTAATTTTAGACTTTTAGTATGTATGATTTAAATGACTTAATTGAATGTATATGTCATATTAAACTTGATATCATATGAAAGTACTTAAAAGATTTTATTTGGATGTCCTATCTTCTTTTCATAGGTATAATTTTACTTATTTTAACAAACTTTGAAAGCTTTAATTTTTTTTAAATTATTATTATTATTATTATTATTATTATTATTATTATTTTCAACCACATTTAACTTTAAATTTCAAAGCATTTTTGCATTTGATAACTTGGCAACTTACCTCCATCTGCATGTATGCAGTATTTCTTTTGATAGGGAAGAAGCACTTTTGTCAGCGAATGCACATTATATGCTTATTTTTCAAATATTGCTTTCATTATCAACTACAATTTTTATGTGGAATCATTGCTGAATTACATTCATAAATTTTATTAAGATCAGAATTAATGTTAAATTTTCCCTTATAATTTGTTTTCTTAAGCAATAACTTTTTTAATTGATTCAGTTTTGATATATTTTAATTTCAGTATTAAGTTTTGATTAAACCATTTCATATACATTTTAAAAAGTTAAAATTGTCAATTTTAGACATTTAAAGTTGGTTGGTAGTTATTAAAATATCGGAAAATTCTCTTTAGATGATTTTTGGAAAATATGTTGCTCATGTTATAATATTTGATAATGAATATGCATCTATTAATAAGAAAATGTCATGATTCTTATAACTTTTTGCAGAATTTATTTTGAATTTAGGTTATCTCTTAGAGTAAAAAACTTATTTATAAAAACAAATTGGTTTACTTGCTTTATAAAATAAAATTGATGTGTATCTGTTTTACAGTTATTCCTTTTCCAATTACTGCGTGGTCTGGCATATTGTCATCGAAGGAAGATTTTACACAGAGATCTAAAACCTCAAAATCTCCTAATAAATGATAAAGGAGAGTTAAAATTAGCAGATTTTGGTATGGTTTTTAAAACATATTTGTTCTATCACTTAAATAGTATATTATAGTATGTATAACATACATTGATTTAATATGTTTTGTTTTCAGGACTAGCCAGAGCAAAATCTGTTCCTACTAAAACATATTCCAATGAAGTAGTTACATTATGGTATGCCATTCAAATCATTTTAAATTTAATTTTATTAAATATTCTTAACAGCCATTCTGTCTGATTTGATTGCAAGTTTGTAGTCTAAAATAAAAGTAGATTTTACATTTTATATCAATATATATATATATATATCTGTGTTAAATACACATGTGCTTCATACATATTGTCTCTAAAGTTGTATAGCTCTGCCAAGCACTTGTATGTATGGTTATAGTTAATAGGCATGGAGCAGTTACAGTGTTTCCATTTTAAAAGCATTATGGAGCATGTTCAATTTTAAAATAGTATGTTAAAGTATATTTGACTCATGTTTCTGTTGCTGTTGTTCCAATATGCCCATAGTTAGAGGAAAATTTATTGCAGTGGAAGGGTGGTAAGGAGGAAGGCAGGGTACAGACACATTGCTAGTTGCAGATGTTTTGCTGTACTGCTGGGTTGTGTTGGCCCTTCATTGAGTGCGAAATTCCCTGCTACAAAGCCATTTAGTGTTCAGGAAGGTGCCTTCATTGTTGAACAGTATTTCAGAACAAGTTTGTTTTAAAAAAAGCTGCTGTAAATTCACAGAAATGTTCAGTAAGGGTGCTTGGACTACAAGTTCAATTCAGAAAATAGTCAATAAATTCCATAAGACAAGAGTATGTATGTAACATATGTAATGTAATGTGAAATACTGACATAAGAGGACTGTACTAACACAAGAGGCAGTGACTAATGTTAGTGAAATAGTGACAAGATCTCGCCACAAACCTTCATGACGCCCTAAACCAGGAGATGCAAATGTCTGTAGGATCAGCCCATACGGCTGTGAGGAAAGTATTGAAATTATAGAAATTATATCCATACGGAGTTCAAGTTTTTCATGAATTAAACAAATTGACTATCCTAATTGTGTGCACTACTGTCAATGGTTGAAAGACTTCATTGGGAATTACATCACTGTTCGGCAACGTGTTTTCTAATAAAGCCTAGTTTTACCTGAATGGTTACGTGTCTTCGCAAAATTATCGAACATGGAGCTTTGGAGTCCCCTCTCCACCCTCAAAACATTGCTGTCTGCTGTGCCATATCCAGATGGCAAGTGGTAGAGCCAATTTTTTTAAAAACATAATAAGATAGTGAAACTTACCAAAACAGTATAATGCAGTTTGTTGCAATGTTGGAACCAGCAGAGCATCAATGTTGGTTTCAGCAGGACGGCACAACTCTGCATATTTCCAGTGAGATTATGGCTATATTAAAAGTTTTCTTTTGGTATAAGATTATGTCAAAGGGACTGTGGCCTGCCACACGCCCAGACCTTTCAAGTCTGGATTACTAATTGTGGAGGGTGTTGAAGCAAAATGTATGCAGGCAAAATCCTCGCACCTTAAAAAAGCTGCAACTTAACATCACTGTGGAAATTAGGAGTATAACTGTCCATATGTTGCATGAAATATGGAAAAGCATGTTAACATGTGTGTTCATGAACAAGTTCATTTTCAACATTTGCTTTAAGAACCTTACTTGTATATTTTATATATTTATGCTCTGTGCCACTTTTAAATTGAATGTATTGTAGTATTCTCCTCGCTATTCTGGTTTATCTTTCATAACTCCCTCAAAACTGATTAGTAATGAATGGTTGATTGATACAAGAGTATTGTTAAAATTAGGAACTGTTCTTTCATTTTCACTTGCCATTACTTAACATTTATTAGATTAAATTCAGGCAAAGTGACATAAAATAAGATGTAAAGCTGTTACAGATATATCAAAAAATAATTTGGAAGAATTATTGAGAAAGCTGTATGTTCTTATGTAGGACCTTGTTCTTATATTACCAAGAAATGCATTAACATTGAGGTAATCTGAATATCCACAAGAAAAACACGGTGCCTGCCTATGGCAGTAGTAGTCTGGTATTGGTGTCATGGCCCTTTATATTTTTAACATTTTTAATAAACAAAGCTATTGAAGACTTTGTATGAAAAGTAATAAGTTTATGAGAAATTTTTATTTTTTTAATATGTAGAGCAAAATGCTGATTCACTGTTATTGTTCATTTAAAGTTATTGTTTTTTTTTCCTAAGATTGATAGATAATATTGCAATATTTCAAAAAGCATTAAAATGAGCTTTTTCTTTTTTTTTTTTTTTTGTTTGTTTGTTTTGTTTTCCCCTTTTCAGGTATCGTCCCCCTGATGTGCTTCTAGGCTCTACAGATTATTCTACATCGATTGATCTGTGGTATGTTATTAAATATCCAAGTGAACTTAAAAAGCTATTTCTCTTCTAGAACTTATTCATTTAAAAAATAATCAATAAACTGTGTTATATTTTTAATGTTGCTTGCAGTTTGTTAACCGTTTTCGCTAAAAAGACGTGCCACGCACATCGAAATGCTTTTGTCTCAAACCGCGCGAAAAAAGGAAAATAATGTGGTGCACACGTCACCTAACAACGAGATTGTTTATTTCTCGAGTTACAGCTCTGGATTGCACATGCAGACGTGGAGCGACGTAAATGAGACATTTTACCGCTTGTTATATTGTAGCACACAGCACCGCAACCGTGAAGTTTAGTCGTAGCGCAAGTGGTTAATGTTGATGTGTGTTCTGTGATACATATTCCATGTTTTTACCATATGTTACCTACATTAAATATTCTGTTAGTTTCCGGTAATTTAAAATTGCAAAAATAGCAGAAAGCCATAATCTGTATATGGGGAGGGGCAATAGGAAAAATAACTGGTTAGGTAATTAATCATTTGTGTTAGCTGAATGCTTTTTTTTTTTTTTTTTTTTTTTCCTATTACACTGGTGAGTAAAATTTTAAATAAGAAGGTATACTATCCTCAAGTACCTTAATTTTGTAAGATTGTCCAAAATTTTCATTTTTTTATTGCTAAATTTTTATTATGAATGCAGATTATTGCAAACAACAAATTGACAAATTATTCACTTAAGGGGTAATTAGAGAGTACTGAAAAAAATGTTTTATTAAGATCCTGAATATACTTATTGTTTTAAAAAGTAACAGTATATAGAATAAATATAACATAGAATAAATCATAAGCAAATATTTTGTTCATAATAATTCCATTCTAATAACGTTCTTTCTAATTATCACTCTATTGGAAGGTGCTGCAGACAGTGCTGCAGTCAAGTCTATTTCCTGCCGTAATCTAACGCTGAAATATTAACATCATCTCTTCATCGCTCTCTATACTGAGAGCGACGATGTTAATTTTATAATCAGAGAGAGGGAAGCCAGAATATAATATAACATATGGTGAGTACATGGCTGTTAGAATTACTATGACCTTATTAGAACATTTCCAGTAGCTATAAAATGAGTCAAAGCAGACTTCTTGTGCCATTTTGTGACCACATTTGTAACTAACTCAATGCAACAAATTTATTCACGGTTTAAATTTATGAGTAAGATATTGTCAAGATACACAAGTATTTTCAAGTTTTTTAGTAAAAATAAAAGATTCCGAGTATTCCCGGGCTTTTAAGTGAAGGGGCTAAAATAGTTACTCTAAATTCGCATAAACATAAAGTTTAATTCAAATTTGATTTCGCTTAGTACATCAAAACTGGTGTTCTTATGCTTCATTTGAAAGCTGATAGTTTAAAAAAAATTATTGAACACATTGAATTTTCATACAGTAAGACTCCTGAGAAAAATGACATTTATTAAAATAGTAATTACCTGTAAAATCAAATCAGTAAAATACATTTAACTTAACCTTTTGAGGCCGGGGCTTTGGTAGCAGTAAAAGCTACCAAAGGACGGGAAATCTTGAACCGAATGCTTTCCCCCCTTTAAGAAATCACCCCCTATTTGCAACAAAGATTCTTGTGTGTAGTTTAATGGATTCCCAGATGGGTACATCTATGTCGCGAAAGGAAGACCTTTGAAAGAGATAAGTGTTTAAAACTCCAGGGACGTCAAATTTGACAATTCACCCCACTTTTCAGCCTGGAAAATGGGGGGAAAAGACATGGCCACTAAAGTGGACAACCCCGTCTTTTCAAAGAGAGGACTCTATGGCCACTATAATGGCCATCCCGTCTTCAAAAGGTTAATTCTTGGAAGTCTAAATATGCATCTTGTTCCATAATCCAGTAATACTTAGGGGGAAAATAAAATGCTACTGGATTCATAAATGAGGTACTAAACGTTTTATCTCATTAAGCTGTTTATTGCTTATGAATCACAAATTGTCCATTTTTGTAATTAATGAAGAAACAAGGCCTCCAATGGGAAAGATCAGTGATAACATCCATTCACTCTACTTATTCCAAGATTTACCTCATTTCATATCTCCCAAACACAATTCACACCACATAATGAAGGGATTTTTGCTAATACCGCAAATTCCTTCCAACTAGATGTTGAAAGATTTCTAAACTCTTCATGTCAGAGAGACATACAATATACAACCATGCACGAAGTTAGCGAATATATCGCTAAATTAAATTCTAAGAAAGCGCTTGGATTGGACTCTATTTCTAATCACATGTACCTACCCACCAGCTATCTATTTTTCTTAGTAATGTTCATAAATTATTTGTTACTGCATTGCTATTTTTCTCAAAGCTGGAAGAGAGCACTTATTGTGCCTATTCGGAAACCTGGACATTGCCATTCAAATCCTCAAAATTATACACCTATCATCCTCCTATCTTCGTTATCAAAATTTACGAATTTGTGCTACTTAAATGCAAGAATGATTTTCTCCGAAGCCAAAAAGTCCTTATTGATGAGCAATTTGGTTTCCAAACAAAACACTGTGCAATAAACCAGCTTCTGAGGACAGTGGAGTTCATTCATGAAGGTTTTCGTAGCAAAATGCTTACTGATGCCCTTTTTCTTGACATAGCCAAAGCATTTGATAGGACTTGGCATACGGGTTTTATTATCAAGCTCATGCGACTTGGTATTTTGACTCAACTTATTCACATAATTAACTCGTATCTCACTAATCGTTCTTTCTCAGTACGAGCTAATTCTATCATTTTGGCTCCCCGTCCAGTCCTAAGTGGCGTAGCTCAAGGTGGTCTACTTGGACCGACTACATTCAATATCTTTATCAAAAACATTCCAAAATCACCCAGTGTTACTCTAGCACTCTATGCAGATAACACTGCCATCTTAACAAAACACAAACATTTGAATGTTCTTGTTCACAATCTTCAGAGTTATCTCCATGGCCTTTAGCACTGGCTCGTTACTTGAAAAATCAAAATTGATGCCGCTAAATGTGCTTCCATGATATTCACATGCTCCTGAATCCCGTACCCTACCATTAAGGTCTTCGATTATTATTCTTATTATTATTCTTATTAAGGTCTTCGATTATTATAAGGTCTTCGATAATTATGTTCAAGTATTTAGAATTCCAAATTAATATGACGTCTTCATATTGATTATACACCCAATAAAACAAAGACCGTCAGAACCCAACTTTACCCACTTCTAGGCCAAAAGAGCTCTTCGTCAATTAAGAACAAAGCTCTTCTCTATACTTCCATCTTTCAACCAATATTTTTGCTTGCTTGCACCATCTGGGGAACAGCTGCAAAAATACACATAAAAAAACTTCAAGGCTTTCAAAGTAAGACCCTGCTTTTAGTCCTTAAGGGGACATATGACATAAAAATTTTCAATTTTGGCCTAAAAAAATAAAGTAGCCTGAGACGATTCTAAAAATATATAATTTATCTATGTTTACAAATTTAGAAATTTTTCATTAAAAAATGTAAACAAGCACTAGCAGGCCCATCAGTTCAGAAGGGGCAGATGTCTGGTGTGGCAGAAATAAAGCCATATAAGCGCTGGTAAAAAGTATGTTCATACACACTCTTTGTTTAGAACATGTTTTATTAGCTGAGAGGAAAGAAGTCTCTCTAACAAAAAACTACTGTCATTCATGGAAGAAGTCAAAACCCACTGCTCAACCGGTCATCTTTTCCCATTCTTGACCCATTCACCCTGGGGTGTTCTCCATCAAAATTGGGGGGCCAAACTGAGCTAAATTGCACTGTCACCTGTAAGTCACTGTCACCTGGTCAACGACAAGTGCTCCTTGCGCTGCTATATGTCAGACAAGTGAACAACAACAACTCAAAACCCAAATGAAAGTTTTAATATTTGCATCTGGACACACATACCAAAAACTGTTTTTGTGAGTGTCATCACATTAAAATTAGGTTTTTTAGATGCGGTAATATGTTTTAATGATGGTGTACAAAGCCTCAATAAATAATGGAATTATTGGGAACACAACCAGTGTTTTATACTGTAAAGTTTTTGCAGAAATAGATTGCGATAGAATTCATGAGGCCCATCTCGCTTACTAAAAAGCTTTCTAAAATGGCTAGAAAGAAACGTAAGTTAATAAAACTCAAACAACTAGATGCAGAAATGCCAGTTCAATATGATTATAGTGCAGGAAAATGTTAAAATGATACTTTTTATAAATTATTAGTGTTTAAATTGTTTTTTCAGTTTTTCTCAAAATGCATTTTTTAAAAAATTTTTGGTATACTTTTCTTGAAAACTATGCAGCCTAGAAGTTTTAACCCTTTAACGGTTTGACCCGTATTTTCTCGTTCTTTTATGCAGGTCTCTTAACGGTTCGTTACGGATTATTCTTAGTTTAAAAGTACCCTCGAAAACGTATCTACCTGTGTTTTTGTAATAGGGAAAAAATGTGCCAAAAACAAGTAGCCCGTATTTTGTAGGTCTTCCAACCCCCATTGCGTAAGGGAACAAGGGTCCACGCACCCCTGACAACAATGGGTAATGGCAGTCATTAGCGCAGGGAGAAGTCTTCTTGATGTTTTGAGATAAAGGCCTTACACTACTCTAAAACAAATTTTAATTACCATTTACAAAGTGAATGTATATAAAAAGAATTAGAATTTCCATTTTAGAACAAGTATTGAATAAAATAACAGTTTTTTATAAAATAAACTTTATTTATGACTCATAAATTATTAAGAATTAAAATGAGAAAATAATGTAATATATTTAATTGGGAACACGATTAAATAATTCTCTTTAAAAAAATTCTACAAATTTATATCTCAAATAATAAAAAACGTGCACTCTCTTGATAATTTATATCTTATACTTTTGACAATGCTATTCTATTATTTGATTTCATTACTTAAGAATCTATTCTTGTTATAAAACTGTACAGGAATTTTTCAAAGGGCTCGTATTCCCATTACTGTACGACAAATTATTTCTCCTTTTTGGTTGTCTTTTACTTCCAAAATTCCTCTTATCTCATAAAGTATAAAGTTTTAAAAAATTCGT